GGTTGTCTCGCGGGGCCCCGGAGGATCTCTTGCTCGACCCCTTACCGTGCGGGCGAGTCCCTCCTCCTCCTCTTCCTCTTCCTCTGGGCCCAAGCTCGTGATGGCCCGCTCTCGTCCCGGCCCCCGGAGCTGAGCGCGTTGGCTGGAAAGTCTTTCACACTTACGCGCGCTCAACAAGAGCGTTAAAGGAAAGGCGGGTGCAGCTTAGATTGGGGTGCCACGACGAGGTGTGAGTCAAGTACCGTAGGATTTTCACGGAGGCGAGGTCCTCAACTGCCTCCGCCGTGTACCCTGGGCGTGCGAGCTGCATTAGCGTACGCACGTCCTCGGCGTAGTCACGCAAATCCTTGCCGGGTTGGCGGCGGCGTGCCTCTAAGGTGGCCCTCGCCTCCTCCTCATTACTCACGCCGAACCGCAGGTCAAGTTGGTGCATTAGCTCTGCTAGCTGGGTTTGTGTGCTCGCAGGAAGAGCTTCCATGAAGTCAGCCGCCCGTCCATTTAAGTGTATGGTCAGTTGCTCTAACGCCTGCGCGTCTGTCCAACCATTAATTTTTTTAGCCCCTAAAACATTGCGGGCAAACGCCTTCCATGACGGAGTCCCCTGGCCGGTGAATATATGTCTTATTTTTGCGTGGGGTAACGCGCTGCGGGTTCGTGCCACTTCTGACACCAAATTGTCGGGGTCGCTGCTCCCCGAATCCCCACTCCCTTGTGATCCGAGGCTCTCCTCTTCTACACTCGGGGGAGGGTTACTACCCTCTGCCTCTCCTACCTTCGCCGCTGCTGTGCGAGGCATGGTTCGCGGCTGGCGCTTAGCCCCCCGGGTATCCGTTCGCACACATGCCCTACGTGCCCAGGCACTAACAAACCCGACGCCGCTACCTGCCCGGCTCCGTACACCAATCACACGCGAGGGACTCGGGGTCAGGGGTTAGAGGGCAGGAGCGTCCACCGCGCGCTCGCCGCCGATTGGAGGGGGCACCTCTGAGCCGATTTAAAGGCCGTGTGAACAACCGCGCGTACACGCGAACACCAGGCACCCCACCCTCCTCTTCGCACTCACAAAGACCACACGACACAGTTTATCCTCTACTGATAATTTATTCCCGCGAATAAACCAACTAAACTCTGCATGTTTGTGTGGGTCAGCAGACACTAACCTAACCCTCGGTGATCTGGGGCTCAATTTATCCTGCCTGTCGCTCCACTTTCTACCCACTGGTTAATTAGCCCAAACTCACCTCTCCCTTACTTACCCTTACTCCCACTCTGATGTGCCGGAAGCTGTGGAAGGGCGATGCTGTACGTCATCTCCATGGAGAATTGGGCCTGGCTGCGTTGAACCTCGTCACCCGGACGACTTGAACGGCTGGCTCCAACACCCGGCTGACCTTGATCCCTTGAAGAGCACGACTGCCTCACTGCCTGAATCACCCTCCTTTTATCCTACCCATAACAAATGCGCTAAGCTGTTTCGCTCCCTTGGCCTCCCGTCCAATCAGGGGTCTGGATTTTCCCACTCTTTTGATAGTCGGAGCCTAGCTCTGGTGATGTCACCGCAGTGGTCCCCTCGACGTACGCTTTCTGCTCCTCCCGCTGCCAGCCTACTGACCTGTATAGCGTGTGCGTGTTTCTATCCGCCGTGGCTCAACAGCCCCTGCCGTGACCATGCAATTACAATCCCAGGTCACGGTGCCGCAGTGCACGTCAGCCTCAGGGGTAGGTCGCCCAATTCCCTGGCCGTAGAAAACCATTAAGCTTGATCCCATTAGGGGATTCTGGACGAAAACCTCCGGCCAGGTGACTTCCCCTCGGGCTCTATGTGGGGTATGCGTGCGTTCATGTAGGGGGCGGTGAGGGGCGAGCAGCGACGGTGCCGTCGCTCCTTGGTGGCGGTGTCACGGCGGTGGGTATGGCCCCGACGGAGCGGCTCCGTTGCCGCGGCACCACATATATAGCGGAAGGCTAGCAGTAGAGAAGCTAGCAGAGCATATAGCGGAAGGTTAGCAGTGAAGAAGCTAGCAGAGTGCATAGCGAGAGGTTAGCAGTAGAGAAGCGAGCAGAATATATAGTGAGAGGCTAGCAGTGGAGAAGCTAGCAGAGTGTACGGTGGGAAGCTACCAGAGGGTGTAGTAATAGGCCAGCAACTGAGATAGCGAAGCGAGCCGAGCGTGGCAGGCAGGTTAGCAGTGGAGAGGCTAAGAGAGTGAGAGAGAACAGGCTAGCAGTGCAGAGGCTAGGAGAGAACAGGCTAGCGTAGAGTGGCTAGAAGAGTGAGAGAGAACAGGCTAGCAGTGGAGAGGCTAGGAGAGTGAGAGAGAGAACAGGATAGCAGTGGAGAGGCTAGGAGAGTGAGAGAGAGAACAGGCTAGCAGTGAAGAGGCTAGGAGAGTGAGAGAGAGAACAGGCTAGCAGTGGAGAGGCTAGGAGAGTGAGAGAGAGAAGGTAAGCAGTGGAGAGGCTGAGAGAGAGCGGAGCGAGCGAAGCGAACGGAGCAAAGCAGGCGAGCAACGCAAGCGGGAGTTGCGACGGAATTACGGGGTGTTGAACGCGAAGAGTTCTGTTCAATAAAAAGTGACACGAGAAAATGAAGAAGTTGTTCGCGTGAAATAAAAACACTACACATGTATCTCGGATGTAGGCATATAAATTGCATGGAGTGTCAATGGGAGATGTGAAAGGGGTTGTGCTTGTCTCTCCAGTTAAGAACATTCCAGAAAGGGTAGACATATGGCACTGCATCCAGCTCACTGCGTTGAGTGAAATTGAGGAATGGCTTACAGTGAGGGAAAAAAGTATTTGATCCCCTGCTGATTTTGTACGTTTGCCCACTGACAAATAAATTATCAGTCTATAATTGTAATGGTAGGTTTATTTGAACAGTGAGAGACAGAATAACAACAACAAAATCCAGAAAAACGCATGTCAAAAATATTATAAATTGATTTGCATTTTAATGAGGGAAATAAGTATTTGACCCCTCTGCAAAACATGACTTAGTACTTGGTGGCAAAATCCTTGTTGGCAATCACAGAGGTCAGACGTTTCTTGTAGTTGGCCACCAGGTTTGCACACATCTCAGGAGGGATATTGTCCCACTCCTCTTTGCAGATCGAACTCGAACCTTCAGCTCCCTCCACAGATTTTCTATGGGATTAAGGACCTTAATGTGCTTCTTCTTGAGCCACTCCTTTGTTGCCTTGGCCGTGTGTTTTGGGTCATTGTCATGCTGGAATACCCATCCACGATCCATTTTCAATGCCCTGGCTGAGGGAAGGAGGTTCTCACCCAAGATTTGACAGTACATGGCCCGGTCCATCGTCCCTTTTATGCGACGAAGTTGTCCTGTCCCCTTATCAGAAAAACACCCCCAAAGCATAATGTTTCCACCTGCATGTTTGAAAGTGGGGATGGTGTTCTTGGGGTCATAGGCAGCATTCCCCCTCCTCCAAACACGGCGAGTTGAGTTGATGCCAAAGAGCTCCATTTTGGTCTCATCTGACCACAACACTTTCACCCAGTTGTCCTCTGAATCATTCAGATGTTCATTGGTAAACTCTAAACGGGCATGTATATGTGCTTTCTTGAGCAGGGGGACCTTGCGGGCGCTGCAGGGTTTCAGTCCTTCACGGCGTAGTGTTACCAATTGTTTTCTTGGTGACTATGGTCCCAGCTGCCTTGAGATCATTGACAAGATCCTCCCGTGTAGTTCTGGGCTGATTCCTCACCGTTCTCATGATCATTGTAACTCCACGAGGTGAGATCTTGCATGGAGCCCCAGGCCGAGGGAGATTGACAGTTCTTTTGTGTTTCTTCCATTTGCGAATAATCGCACCAACTGTTGTCACCATCTCACCAAGCTGCTTGGCAATGGTCTTGTAGCCCATTCCAGCCTTGTGTCGGTCTACAATCTTGTTCCTGACCTCCTTGGAGAGCTCGTTGGTCTTGGCCATGGTGGAGAGTTTGGAATCTGATTGATTGCTTCTGTGGACAGGTGTCTTTTATACAGGTAACAAGCTGAGATTAGGAGCACTCCCTTTAAGAGTATGCTCAGCTCGTTACCTATATAAAAGAGACCTGGGAGCCAGAAATCGTTCTGATTGAGAGGGGGTCAAATACTTATTTCCCTCATTAAAATGCAAATCAATTTATAACATTTTTGACATGCGTTTTTCTGGATTTTTTTGTTGTTATTCTGTCTCTCACTGTTCAAATAAACCTACCATTAAAATTATAGACTGATCATTTCTTTGTCAGTAGGCAAACGTACAAAATCAGCAGGGAATCAAATACTTTTTTCCCTCACTGTATATCATACGGACACCTGAAAAGTGGGTACAGCCCTAACCCTAACTTTAATTTTGGGAAAGCTGAAATAGGTTCTCGATGTGCAAATAACAAGTTATATATACCTATAAACGCGGCTCGACGAAAATAAATGAACGGTATAGGGTTCTGGAGAAATCCTTAAAAAAACAATTTTGCCAGGACAATGTTATTTTTAGCCATGTCTCGCCGTTTTTCTTCCGAAACACAAACATACTCAAACCAAGTTTTCTTAACCAAAACACATACATACTCAAACAACCATGAACTAATCAATTATTATTTCCCCCACTATCATTGTTATTAGTATGAAAAGATATTAGTATATGTTTTCATACTAATAACAATAATATTTATGAGGGTATTCTGAGGGTCGGCCCATTTCGACCATCAACCTCACCTCCAACAATTCTGGTCCGTCTGCCCACTCAGCCTCGAGACCCTTAGCTCACTGCACCCAAGCAAACATCACACCCTCGGACAAAGGAAAATTCAGTCTTTAGAACCACTTATTTATTTACAGAATAAATATTAACTAACAATCTTGACTTAAAGCTTTTGTGACTGCAGGAATTCATATTCTTGGGTCTTTCGGTAAAGTCACGTAGATAGGTTCAAAGAAAATAAAAAAAATACAAAAACTATTTTTTTTCTCTTGATGACGATTGCTTGTGTTGCGATCGAGAGTTGTAGTTGTTTGTTATTTTTTGTTATTTTCTTTGAACCTATCTACGTGACTTTACTGAAAAACCCAAAAATATTAACTAACAACCCATGACAACACTGAAACACGTTGCTCCACTCTCCAGCCCAAATGGATTATTGAACTCATACTACAGGTAAGCAGACACCTAACTCCTGGCAGGGTGCGACACATTGCATCACTCTCCCAGTCAAGTGAGTTGTTGAACTCAAACCACAGGTAACCTGCAGCTGAAGTCCTGGCAGAGTGAGACAAGTTGCCTCACTCTCCCGCACAGGTGGATTGTAGTCCTTATTGTTGTCTGCCTCTTTGTCGAATTCTAATTGATCCACGTTGGAATCCACGATTTTAGCAGCATTGCCGGAGGCTGCATGTGAAGAAGTATCCAACCCCGTTGCGTGTGGCATTGGTGGTGCCATTTTTGCAGACATCAACGTTCAGGCCCCGGGGAATGGTGCTCTCCTCACACACCTCAATGCCGCCAAAGAACATGTCAAAGTAGGCTTCTGGCAGGACGCAGCTCATCAGCCTAGGCCCATTTGCCAAACTAAGCGGAAAGTGCCACGTGTGTTGCTTAGGTGGTAGGAAAGGATGCTGCATCGTTTGAAGAGTGCCCACGCGGCAAAGGCCACGTCTCGCCGGTGCCGTGTGGCCCGCCTCTACAGCACAGCGTGGACGGCATCTAAAGATGGCTGGCAGTTCCGGCTGCGGGACCCATCTTGCCTCTCATGGTCATCATGATCACCACTGTTGAACATTGTCAAAGATGCGCTGGGCTGTCTTACAGTCTGAAGTGGTGGTGGTGGGGCCCCAGTTGAGGTCACCGCAGGTCCGCCGGCGGTAGGCATGGATGGCGGTGAACAAAAGTATGCGTGCCGGTTGCACCAGTGCCACGGACTGCAGTATGGAGTAAACGGTAGCAAACAGCCAATGTAGGGAGATGACTTGGCCGTACTGAAAGCCGTAGAGGATAATGAAGAAGATGGAAATGAAGCTCACGGTGCTAACAACTACCCAGCCCAAAAACGCACGCAAGCACGAGAGTACAGCACGGCACTTTGGACTGAGTGACCGGTAAAACGCCACCTCTTTGGTGCTATAGTTGTCAAATTCTGTGTCATCATCTGCTTTTTCGTCAGATGCCGTTTTGTTATTGTTGTCTGCCTCTTTGTCGACTTCGAATTGATCCACGTTGGAATTCACAATTATAGCAGCATTGCTGGAGGCTGCATGTGAAGAAGTATCCACCACGTTGAGTGTGGCATCAGTGGTGCTAGTTTGGTGGACATGAAAGTTGATGCCCCTAGGAATAGTGCTCTCCTCAAACACCTCAATGCCGCCAAGGATCTTGTCGAAGTAGGCTTCTGGGAGGACGCAGCCCTTCAGCTTCGGCCCATTTGGTAAACTGAGTTGAGAAGTGCCGCGTGCGTTTCTTAGGTGGTGGGAAAGGATGCCGCTGGAAATTTGAGAAGCGATGTCATCATTTTGTATGCTCTCCAGAAAGCAGCCATGACACAGTCTTTCCTTCCACTTTTGGGCCCGCGAGGAGCTCGACAATTCTGGCTGTTGTCTGATTGAGCGAATCGAATGTTGTGGCTGGAGGGGCAGGTACAATGTAGTGCAAGAACAAGCAGTGGCAGCAGCTTCAGCTTCAACATCTCCATTGTGGAATGCCTTCACAACAATGAACTGCAAGGGGAGGCCAATGAGGGCACTCTCCACTACGATGGTGAGAGATTGCAACAAACGGACAACCAGCGAGTGGGCGTTCTGCAGTGCCTGGTGCGATAAGCGGAACAGCATAATGGACGTGAGCATGTCGAACAGCTGCAAGCACACACAGCAACCCAACCGCTTTGTTCGTGTGAACGACTTCCCAATGGGCGTCGGATGGAAGACAGACAGCCACAGGTGGTGTTCGCACATCTTCACAGCAAACTGGATGCTCAATACTGTCCAAAAACTGGCAGTGTCACCCAAATCCGAAACCGGGAAAATATGATCTAAGTCGCTCCCAGATAGCCATCTCCGGCACAGAAAGAACCAGCAGCGTCCACTGAGAGGGCACTCGACCTTGACGCGACTTAGGTACCAGCTGGGGCTGTTGCCCTGATGGATGACCCAGGCCCGCAAGTAGCACAGCTCGCCTAGATCCTGCTTTGCTGTGAAGAGAAGGACATCTACGGAAGCGGTTTTCATCAGCCTCCGACCATGCGCTGAAACATGGTGTGTCTTGCTGCATCCGTTGGAGCCCACAAGCATGAGGTAGACGTCCGATGTGGTACCCGAGGTGAGACGGCTGCCTGTGAATATGGTGAGGATGTAGAAAAAGGAGTCACTCTCCTCCTTGTCATCGAGGGTGACGAATATTGACTGGATACCACTGGAGTCTGCCAAATTCCTCTGGTCCTCACAGCGTTGCTTCCGACGCACCCAGCAAAATGTGAACCCAAAGAACACGAGGACGGCACTCATGGTGACTACTGTGATGAAGCTGTGTGCTATCGACCTGATGAGGACCAAGACTTTGCGCAGGTCTACCATATCCGGGATGATGAAGAGGCGAGTGGCCATGGTGCGTAGCATAAGCCCCAAAGCGATGCAAGCAAAGCCTCCATGGCTGGGCCCGCACTGGCAGTGCAGCTTGTCGCCCGTGGTGAGGGGCCCCAGCTTGCAGGCTAACTCATCCCAAACCCTGGCATCACTCTGGTAGTCCAGGCAACTGGCCTGGAAGAGCGTCACGTTGACGCCAATGTTCCCGGGGTTCTCCACCTGCTGCGTCGGCTCTAAGCGCACAAATATTCTGTAAGAGGTTGCCACAGCTTTACCCATACTATCTGAGCCACTGGCATTTTTCAAGATCCACGTGGGCAATTTTATTAGGTGCGGGCTGGCCGTCCTGTGTGACAGGAGCCAAGGCTTGGTAGGCAAGAGGCGGTGTCGACTGCACTCAGCTGCCGTTGCTGACCCTTGACACTTGGGGAAGGGAATCTCATCCAAAATTGCATGCACGTCACGTGAGGCCACGGCGTTGATGTTGACCATGATGCCGATGGAGAGCCCACTGTCCCTGATGCTAAACTTGAGGAAAGTGAGTGTTCCCCTGCCAACGCTCGTAATGTTCACATTGAAGACAAACTCCGCAGAAGAACCCGTCCTTGCATTCTCATCTGGGTAAAAGTGAACTGGCAGGGCCTTGTCCCCCACCTGTCTGCGACGCACCACCAGGTCCACTGACTTGGTATGCAGCTCCACTGTTTTCAAATCGGTGTCCACAGTTGTCACAGCGAAGGCCATGACTGAGGAGCCAAAGTTGGTGTCAGGTCCAAAGCTGGGCAGGGGACTCGTCTCAAACTCAAGCAGCATTGTTGACACAACGGCATTGGGGCCCAGCCAGGGGGTGGTTGTATTGCTGACAAAGGAGTGCATCAGGCAGGCTGTGCAGTCTATGTTGGCCTGATCACCAGATTCCATGTCCCACATCTCGGCCTTGCGCACAGAAAGCCTGAGTCCGTGTGCCTCCAGGACTGTGGAGGCCTCGCCGTTCACTTTCCTAACCAGGACAGTGGCCCCCAGCTCAGCCATCATGGCAATGGCTGGCACTACAACGTTCAGGAGCATGGCGGACTGGTTCTGCGGAGCTGCCTTGAAGGTGCTGGAGGAGGCATTGAGAACACTTGTGAGGGCTCCCAGCACCGCCATACTCACACGCTCAATGCCAATGGCTTCTAGCTCATCAAATCCAGAGAGGGGGGAGTGAATGGCACTGTTAACCTTGCTCAGTCTTGTCACCGTTTTCTTCAGCAGTTCCAGTGACTGCCCAGCACCCAGGTTCCCAATTCCCATTGTGGCCTTCTGTAAGGCGGCCGACACCAACAGGATGTCATCTCTGTTGTTGAGGGGCACATCCTCGAGGCCATCGAGTAGCCGTGCATGCAATGCAGTCTGTTGTGCATCGTCCATATCACTGGCCACATTATTGAGCTCGCTTGCGACAAGATCGATCAAGTAGGCAGCTGCAGAGGTATCTCCTCCCTTCAGCATCATGCCCAGTTTGGAGTAATTGCCCAGAACCATGCTCTGTAGGTCGAGAATTGTTATACTGGTATCTGGCTGCTTGGAGACTGACACGTTGAGGAACAGCGTAGTGTAGGCATCCACAGCATTCCACACCTCAATGCAGAGCACCTGTGTGCCACCAGGCAGTAGAAACGGTGGAGACCATGGGCTGTAGCCACTGTAGATGATTGTGCGGTCACATACTGACATCAACGGGATGCCCAGGCACGAGAAGACTTTGTACCGAAGTGGCTGGTGGTGATTTTGAAAATCCTTGCATGCGACCTGAAACCAGGTGACCAAAGCGGTGCCCTCTGTCGGGCGCACCTCGCACGAGCCCCCGGATGGTATAGGGTTGACGGCGAATGCCCAACGGTGGATGCTGCTCCTTCCCGCGTTGGCGGAGGTGGTGTTTAGCTGGAGCAGTAGCTGCCCCGGTAGTGACATATAGTCGGCAAAGGCATGAGGATTAAGCGAGAGGAATGAGCGGTGGCACCCTGTGAGTGAATGTTTGTCCCAGTCGACAAGGACTTCAGTGGCAGTAGTGGTGGTGTCGTCGCCGCCGCCAGCGCTGGCAGCGACCCACATCAGGCTCCACTCATATCCAAGTCGTCGCTCGGGTGTCTGGTTGCAGTCATGACATCTGCCCGAGAGGACGAGTCGCTCACTGGGGTTGACGGCCGGCCCACAATTGAGAATGCACATGAGCTCAACAACAGGCACCGTGCTCGCCGACGTGAGCCTCACGGCCTGTCGGGCACTTGCGACCTCGGCCCGTCCCTCCTTGCGCACGACAAGCAAGAAGTGGTAGACTGCATCGGCCATGAGTAGCCGGGCTGCGATGTCTAGAGTCGGTGATGTAGAGTAGGCCCAAGGGAGTGGTGCTGGAGAGGAGGCCACACGGCAGGGATTGGAAGCAACGCCGGCTGAGGCATCGATCGCTGCAGCTGCCGTGGCGTCGAGCTCGGAGATTTTGCGTGAGCACAGCCATGCGAAGCTGAGCCCGTGGTGCGGGGAAGCCTCGTCGGGGTCGTGGGAGGCCGAGCCGTCGAGCTGGAGCGGCTGCGCCCATTGCGCTGTACGGAATGAACCGCCCGCAATGGAGGCCACTAGTTCTGATCGATCGATCTGCGCCAGCAGGGGTGGAATGGTGAGAGGGAAGCCAAGCGGATCAACAGGACACAAAAACATTATTCTCATTCATATTCCTGAAATCCTAAACACACATCCACTACAAACAGCATCAATGAATAGTAATGTCAACATGTAAAGCTGCACTGCTACCACACAGCATCTCGTAGAGAGAGAGGATGGCTAAGTGACAGGAGGGGGGACTACCGCCATGCAGTGAGCCACTATTACCAACCATTGCCCAAGCTCTGTGGTTCTCTATATCTGAAGGTGTTATATGCCAATTAATGATGATTGTTTATATGTGGGAGGAAACTGGAGTATCAGTAGATAACCCATGGTGCAAGGGGAAAACGCTCTATTTTATACAGATGGAACAGGTGGAGTCCATATTTTTTGCTTTACCACCTTCTGGCGAACCAGGGTACTATTCCAACTCGACAACAACCAAATCTGTGTGTGATCCATCAACTCTTACTGCTGCCTTCACAGCACTGGGTTACAGGCCACATGTACAGAAAATACCCAAAAATATAAATTCGTAATAATGGTGTACAACTTTTCAAAAAGTGAATGTAAGATGATTGTTGCTGAAAATGCAGTGTTCTCACCTTCAGATCAATGGAATCAGAATTTTCCATGAAGCTCTGTCCCAACGCACCTCCATCCAGGGAGACTCTGACCGAGAAGATGGCATTGTAGGTTCCGTAGGGCAGTGTGTGGCGCGGGATGCTGAGTATCGTGCTGTTGGTCTGGATGCTCAGTGGCAGCGCAACAGTTGTCAGCATAATAGACCCATCAGCACCCCTCTCCACCCTCCTGACTGCCCAAGAGTGCCCCACTTGCACTATGGCAGTGCAGACCACACCTACCATGGCCCGGAGATCCACGTCGACGCCGCGAGGCCATGTGGGGATCCCGTTGGAGGCTTGGGGCCTCTCGACAGCGACTCCAGGAAGCCCACAGTGGTTGACGGGACGAAGGCGCACGAGCGAGGAGGCAACGTCATTGAGCAAGAGCTCATCGACCGACAGGTGCAGCTTCACCCAGAAGCCCATGAACTTCGGTAACATGCAGAAATGGACGAAGCCAATGGCCTTGTGAAGCGGGAATGGAAACAGCTGCCCCGGGAAGTACTTGGATGCCAACTGTTCCGCAGGGGCTCCTTTGTTGGCACTGTAAACCTCATCATCCAGCATCCACTTGCTTGCAGAAAGGGGCTCTGCCTCACCACTGAAGGAGACGTGGAAGGTGTAGGCACATTGCAGCCATGGCGCCAGCACCGGTGCGAACCACACAATAGGTGCGCGTGGATTTCTGTCGAACCAGGGAAGCACCTGCATGGGCCCCCATAACAGAAGGTTATTGAGTCGAGGTGCCCCCAGCCGTGAGTAGAGCAGTCCGGCCGTGTCAATCATCACCCACAGGCTGAATGAGAAGCAGGACGAAGGTGGCGATGATGTTTTTGCTTCCAGCACGTACACCAGCCCGTTGGGCAGCAGTAGCACCAGCCGCAGTGCATCCACCCCCCCCGCAGGAATGGTGCCCCACCGCTGGCCTTGGGCAATGTCCTCATAAGAACCACCGGCGAGGTCCAGCACGTGGACTCCACACGTGTAGGTGGCTGTCTTGCCGAGGCCCAACAACCGAGCCCCGGCGACGCCATAAAAATCGCCGGCAGTGCTGATGCCGTTGCGCAGGGTGAAGTCGGAGGTCCCAAGGCTGAGTGAGCCGGCGTGGGGCAGGGCGCCATTGTGGAGGGAAAGCACACGGGCATCTGCGCCGCTGTTCCAGTCCACCCCGGTGAGACTGTTGCAGAACTGGCCGGGGATGCTCGATGGGCCCAGGGAGTCATGCCAATCCGGTCCATTGAGACGCAGAAAGTGGTCGAGCCCCAGCGGAAAGGGGGTGCTGATGAACGAGGCGACGAGGGGCGTCTTCATCGGGCAGCGTGACGCAAGCTGGCTGCTGCCACTGGAGAGCGTGATCAGGCGCAGCAGGCGAGTTTGTACCCGCACCTTACAGCTGCCAGTCACCGTGGGGCCACCTGAATGGGTGACAGAGGGGTTATCCTCAATAAACATGCAACGTTGGGGCACACTGGTATGTGTTTGGAACTATTGGCTCAACGTTGTGCACTCACCAAACAGCGACAACGTCACTATGTACGATCCTGCCAGGTAGAATGCGAGGCTCGCCGTGTACTCATACGTCTCGTCACCATCAAGCTCCACATGCCACTGGGAGGACACCGTCACCTGGCCGCCCACATACTCCAGCCGGTAGGACCACGCCTCACTCTTGAGGGGCGCGCTCCACACAAACGCCACCTCCTCTCCCTCCATCACATCGTCTGTCCCAACGACATGCAGGCCTGGACTCCACGGCATGTAGAAGTGCCCGACTATGGTGAAATTCAGGCAGTTTCCCCCCATCAAACACCGGGCCACGGTGGTGCCGTACGGCCCGAGCAGGCACAAGCTCTCGGACCACCCTTCCCAGCTGTGCATGGTTTGAGACACCGTCCACGATTGCGAGGTTTTGGCATCGAAGTTGGCGGGCCATGTGCAGTGAGGGACGGGCCAATCTGGCTCGTTAATGAACTCCTGGCTTGGGGTCCCTTGGATGAGGGAGGTGCCCACTAGACAATGGATGTCTCCATCTTTGTCGACCTGCTCGAGAAGGGTGACCGAGAAAACACATTGCTGGCCCAACTTTCATGTTCACTGGTAGAATCTTAACAGCATCCCAATAAACTATCTGTTGGGTTAAAGTTAGAATGTAGTTGGAATCATTAGGCTAATGTTGGCTCAACGTTGGGCTGTGTTTCATGGAATAGAGAATTTAACCATTCATAATGCACAAAGGCTCAGAGGGCTGAGTACTGTGTGCACGAGTGTGTGTTGTTGGTGTGTGAAACTCGTAGTTTTTGCAGTCTGCACTGATATTTTTAGTGGTGTAAATTATATTTTTCGTCCGTTATAAATTTGACTAAATTTGTTATTGACATCATGAGGCCAAGAATCCATTCGGAAATTTCGTAGGGCAGGACCAACTTTCCATGCCAGGTCGGTTCAAGGAAGGAGATTTTTCAGGAAAATACGTTATTTGAAGTTTCCTTAGACAAAAGCACAATGAGCAAAACATTTTGGAATAATATGGTGCAATTACAGGGCAATGTGGACACCCTGGAGAGTTGATTGGCTCACCCTGGAAAAGGGCTATGCGTTCTAGATTTAAAGCTTTCGTGACTGCAAGGATCCATACTCTTTGGTTCTATTGGGTAAAGTCACGTAGGTAAACAAGTTCACAAGACCTTTGCGAAGAGCTTCTGGCCGCTGCAGGTGAAGGAGAAGAGTGAAGTTTGAAGAGGTTCGGACATAGCAATGATGATGAAGACGGGCAGGAGGGCTTGTGACCACACCATGGCCACTCCAGCAACAGAACCACCAGGGGTGCCACCTGTGCAGGTTTTGGCCTGGACAGTCCAGCAGTTGGCATCTGTGTGTCAGGTGGCAGGAGTTGATTAGCACTGGTTTTGTGGCAAGCTGTATCATTACAATTTCATGCTGTACACCTTTTATAATGGACCCTGTGTGTCTCAGCCAGCACCAGGTTTTGTCTGCAGTGGAAAAAGTGGCAACCCTAATTGGGACCACCAACACTGATAGTAGGAACACTACAACCACCAGCATCACTACCTCTGCCACCACCATCAACGCGGCTACTACCAGCAACGCCACCTCTACCACCACCATCAACACCACTCCCACCTCCATCCAATACCACCACCACCAGCACCAGAAACTTGCTCAACATCTTTTCAAATACCGTGCCGGGAGATGGAACCAAACTGGAGACCTCTGGATCGCAAGTCACAGTATTCAAACTCACATCCATTACTGAGTCCCATCACATCACTAATGTTACACTAACATCATCAACAGTAGAAAAGCACTTTACATAATTCCCTGTACTGCACAGCTTATGCAGGAGTAGATGTTTTCCAAAGAAAAGGGCAAGACGAAACCGCACGCGACTGCTGCTTGCCGAATTTTGCTCACAGTACACAACGTTGTACTGTATCTCTGTGTATGTATCTCTATGTGTATTTCTGTATATATCTCTATGTGTATGTATCTCTGTGTATATATCTCTATGTTTATGTATCTTGTGGTGCCACAGCAATGGAGCAACTCCACCGGCGCTGCTATCCCCTCGCACCCTTTCACACGAACGCACGCACATCCCCACTAAACACACACATGCACGTAGGGTCTCATGGGTTGCGCGGATGTCCCACGGTTTCCCAGTGCCAGGAGATTGTCCGACCCCCCCCCCCCCCGGCCGAATTGCATTGCGGCCCCGTGAATTAGCTTAAAATTGTATGGGCACGACGAAGCTCACCGAGCGAACCGCAATGAGAACACTCACAGCACAGAGAGATAGGGCCTCGGGGGCAAACACCCAGCGAGCAGCGCACAAGAGGAGGTGGGAGGGAAATTCCTGGACCGACTGAAGCTGTGTATCCGCGGGACGGCCGCCCTGATCAAACCGGTTGAGTCCGGGGTGGGGAGGACAATGGATCAAGACGTAAGGGAAAGCAACGCTCCAGGTCATCAGTTTAAAATCGAAAGGTACGCGCCCGATTGGCCGCGCAGGGTAACACCACGTGACCCTGGATTTTTGGATTCCGAGGGCATGAGGGAAAAAATGTTGGGCAGTGCTCCTCCAGCTGTTGAGCTGCCCGGTCGGACTCCCAGCCGCTCGGAGCGTTCGAAGGACGCTGGCGAGTGCTGCTACGACACGACCCCAGACAGAGACCTTTCGTACCCTCATCCCTCCGACTACCACCACATCCGTGCGACACCGTGAGTACGTCCGTGAGGTGAGAAGTAGAGTAAGGGTACACCCAGGGATTGAAAAGGGATAGGCTAGGCGCTGCTCGCTGAAAATTTTGCTCCAGGCCACGCAGGGTTTTTTTTCTTCAGGCGCACCATTAATAAACTTTAGAACAGAGGATCCGTGTGGTGTGATTTCTGTGAGTGTGTCGGCGTGGGGCGTAATTCGAGCGGGTCTGTGGGAGGCACGCGGACAGTAATTCATTAACGGTTCCCGCGTCCGTGCAGCGGCGCCGCGTGAATAATAGGGCGAGGGAGGGGTGAGTTAAAACCCGTTCGCGTGTTTACACAGCGCGTTTTACACAGTCTGTTCACGTAGCGACGATAGCATTTAGCGGTGGAGCTGGCGTATATTGCCATCAATACGGCCGTCGTTGTGCCCGTGTGCTTGCGCTCGTGTGCGTGTTTGCACAGCGGATTAAGACCGACCCACAGGAGGGGGGGAGGGGCGCGTGCATATTCATACAGATATTTTTAGCGCGAGCCGTGGTGGGCGAAGGTGCGCCTACGCGGGCACTCAGCCACCTCCGCATGAGTGGTGGTGTACGTGGGGAGTGTGTGGGATAACTCCGGGCGGTGGTGAGCCAGCCACTTAGCCATGTCCCTCAGAGAGGGCGCTGGTGCAGGGGGGGGGCGATCACCTGATCGGCGGGGGCCCGGCGAGAAGTGGCCGAGGAGGAGGGGGGAGAGGAGGAGGGGGGCATCAGCCCCCACAATCTCTATGTGTATATTTATGTGTATATAAATCTATGTGTATGTCTCTCTGTGTATGTATCTCTGTCTATGTATCTCTGTGTATCTATATAAAAAGGAAATTTGTGAATGTACCTGTTCAAAATGTTTAGCATACTTCCCAAAATGCAACAAACTTGAAATTTGGCATGTGGGTAGCTTCCAGAGTGTGCAAAATGCAAAAAGTATACAAATTAACTTTTTTTTACTTTGGGGGTGGGGGGGGAATGACCATGAAGTGTGTGGCGTCAACCCGCATACAGGCTGGCGATAATCGATATCTGGAGAGCGTTTGTGGTATCGATTAAACGGGAATAGGCCGATTCTAAAGAAATCTACAACCTTCGATTCCTTTGCGCGATTTAAAGAATCGAATTTTGGCGCGGGAGCGTGTTTTTTTCCACCGCGCGTTAGGTTTTATTTAAATTAATGAGGTAATGTTATGCTTTTAGGTTTTGAGAAGTTTTTAAATATATTTTCCCCCCGGGCAACGCCGGGTACTTCCCGCTAGTCTATATATATAAAAAAGGGAAATTTGTGAATGTGTGTCTGTTGTAGGAATATTTGATGTTTTTTTTCCTGGATTTCTGTTTGCAGTCACATAATCACTTTAAGATGTTATACCAAATAAATGAACTATGAAATGAACTATGAACTGTTCAAAATGTTTAGCATACTTCCCGACATGCAACAAACTTGAAATTTGGCATGTGGGTAGCTTCCAGACTGTACACAATGCAAAAAGTATAAAAATAGACTTTTGTATTTGGGGGGGGGGGGGGGGGGGGGGGCGCAATAATGCATATAATATATTGCACAGCAAGTGAGTGGTGACGTCACATCTGTGATGTCACCTACATGCGGCAGCGTCACGCAGTGTGCCTGCTGACGTCACGCATCCCCCCCCCTAACCCTCCGCATAGGCCGTGTATCCCGCACAAATGTGCGGCTGTGGGGGAGGGGGGGGGGGGAAATAATGGACAAAATATACTAGGCTACAAACTTACAATTTGCCATTTGGCTAGCTTTCATACTGTACACAATGTACAAAGTATAAAAATATACTTTGTTTATTTGGGGGGGGAAGTGAGCGGTGACGTCACATCTGTAATGTCACCCGCATGCGGCAGCGTTACACTGTGCCTGCTGACGTCACGCATCCCCCCCCTACCCTCCGCGTAGGCCGTGTATTAATCCAAGACAATAATCCAAGTCTCGGGCGAAGCCGGGTAGTAAAGCTAGTCTCTGTATATATCTGTGTATGCATATATGTATCTGTGTGCATGTATCTGTGTATGTATCTGTGTCTCTGTGTATATATCTGTGTACTAGATTTTTTGCCCGTCCAAGGACGGGTGTATATTACAGTAAATCAGAAATATTCAATCGAAAAATTGTTCAGCTCATGATTATTAATGAGGGGGGTTGCCCCAAGTGGAGTGACGTCACCTGCTCATTATTATTAATGAGGGAAGCATGCGGCATGTAGAGTGTGCGACCTTCTTGGCACATGGCGCGGCCTGAGTGAGGCCTAGTTAATAGTGCACATGGCGTAGCCTGAGTGAGGCCTAGTTAATCGCGCACGTGGCACAGCCTGAGTGAGGCCTAGTTAATTGCGCACGTGGCACAGCCTGAGTGAGGCCTAGTTAATCGCGCACATGGCGCAGCATGAATGAGGCCTAGTTAATCGCACACGTGGCGTAGCCTGAGTGAGGCCTAGTTAATCGTGCACGTGGCGTAGCCTGAGTGAGGCCTAGTTAATCATGCACATGGCACAGCCTGAGTGAGGCCTAGTTAATCGCGCACATGGCGCAGCATGAGTGAGGCCTAGTTAATCGCACACGTGGCGTAGCCTGAGTGAGGCCTAGTTAATCATGCACATGGCACAGCCTGAGTGAGGCCTAGTTAATTGCGCACGTGGCGCAGCCTGAGTGAGGCCTAGTTAATCGCGCACATGGCGCAGCCTGAGTGAGGCCTAGCTAATCGCGCACGTGTTGCAGCCTGAGGCCTAGTTAATCGCGCACGTGGCGCAGCCTGAGTGAGGCCTAGTTAATCGCGTATGTG